AAAAGCACGAGTGATAGCGATAATTGAAGCAGATACAAGATGGTTTGATATCCTTCTCCCTGCAAGGAATAAATACATGGTGAGCATATGTTGTCATGGGAAGGACAAGCCGAACTCTTTGGGTTTGTAGTATAGCATGTTGATATATACGCATGTTTAGACCCTATCGATTGGACATATCCACCTGAAATTTATTGACAGGATTTTTGCTCATCAAAACCGCGTGCCAAGTAAACTCCCTCCTTAATCCTTATATTTTTCTTAATCTGCACATGCACACCCTCATAAGAAACTTGTACATAATTGTAATTTAGGTGCTTCATTAGTATTGTTTCCATAAGATTGTATTATTTGAGGTGGTTGTTCTAGAATCGTGAATCGTGATTGTATCTCCTCTAAGAAATTGTCAAGTTAAGCTCTAAAATAGGATAAGTTGAGCTTCCTCTTTAATTTAGATGGTAAGAGAGCAATGACCCACGTTAAATTGATTGGGGGTTGACAATGCCTGAGAAACGGTTTAGCCTTTTTCAGAGTATCACAAGATCCTGATAGTATCTCGACCAAAGCAATTTTTTTTCATGCCTGATGTTGATACAAGTTGTTTACCTAGAGGAGAGCCCCAGTAAGTTAACTCTTGGAGTTACGATGCGAAAATGGGTAAGGTAGAAATAGTTTATACAAAAGACCATACTATGATCATATAGAATACGTTGGTAGAGATAGTCATCAATCTCATTTTATTAATGAAGCCACCGGGAGAAGAGAGGAATCGTCATTGGTACTCTAAATTTTAAAAAACTAGAGGTGTTGGGCGCCCTAATCACGGATGCAGTGCTGAGTTTCTTTCGGACTGGGCGACTTTTGCATAATTTCAATCACACGTTGATTTCCTTGCTGCCGAAGGTGCCAAATGCGGAGTCAATGCGACAAATTCGACCCATCGGGTTATGTCAGGTTTTTTACAAAATTATTGCTAAACTTATGGCTGCTAGGCTCAGTTTGATATTGCCTGAAGTTGTGAGCTCTACTCAGAATGGTTTTGTGCGTGGTAGACTGATCACTGACAATATACTGATAGGCCAAGAAGTTATGCAATTTCTGAAAACAAAAGTGCAGGGACGGGATAAGTGGATGGCGCTTAAACTTGACATGGAGAAGGCGTATGACCGGGTCGAGTGGTCCTTTTTGCTGCTGATTTTGGAAAGGTTGGGGTTCTGCTATGAGTGGCGGCGCTGGGTCACAGCCTGCATCTCAACGGTCTCCTTTTCGGTTCTTATCAATGGTCATCCACACGGGTTTTTCAAGCCCCATCGCGGGCTACGTCAAGGTGACCCTCTCTCGCCCCTTCTTTATGCTATCTACTCAGAAGCCTTTTCGGCGAAATTATCTTCTGAAATTATGGCGGCGAATTTACATGGTTTGCGTGTTCATCGGTTTGCTCCTTTGACTTCTCATTTATTGTTTGCCGATGATGCCTACTTGTTTTTGAGAGCTTCTCTACCAGAATGTGCCAATTTGCTTGCTCTGTTTGATGAATTAGAGAGGGTTAGTGGTCAAAAAGTTAATCTGGCTAAATCCTCGATGTGTGTGAGTTCTAATGTGTCTGACCAGGAGCGTGGGGTGTTAAGTTCCTTTCTGGGAGTGGCGGATTCAAATTTGGCGGATAAGTATTTAGGGCTGCCCATTCATATCCAAAGATCTAAGACCCAGACCTTTCGGTTTGTTGAGGAAGGACTGGCTACTAGGATCAGGTCGTGGAAGTCTAAAGCTATGTCATTGGTTGCGAAAGAAACGGTGATTAAGTCTATTGGTTCGGCTTCTGCGATCTATACTATGTCTGCTTTTCGTTTGCCTTCTTTCACATGTCGCAGGTTGAATGGTCAATTAGCTCGGTTTTGGTGGGCTGATCAGGATAAAGAGGATGGCATACATTGGCTCTCATGGCAGGAGGCTTGGCGGGTACTGATGAGTCCGGATTCAACGCTAGCGTCGCTGTACCGGGCGCGGTACCATCCACATACTCCTTTCTTGGAGGCGACGCCGGGCCCGCGACCATCCTGGGCTTGGCAGGGCATATTAGCCGGGCGGGACCTTTTGATCCGAGGGCTCCGGTGGCGGATTGGAAATGGGACTACTGTCCAGGTTTTAGCAGATAAGTGGCTTCCTTCGAACCCTCCTTCCATCCCTATGTTACAACCGCATATTACTTCTTGTCCTGTGTTTGTCTCTGACCTGATTTGCCCGCTGTCGCGGTCATGGAATGTGGACCTACTGACAAGCCTATTCATGCCTGAGTCGGTGGCATTAATCCTCTCTATCCCGCTTCCTATGCAGGTCTCTCAAGATAAGCTCATATGGCATTACTCTCCCACTGGGGAGTACACGGTCAAAACCGGGTACCACGTTCTTACTGATGAGTTGTTAGCAGCTAACCCTCCTGCTCCGTTGCCGTATGATGGCAGGTTCTGGAAGTTATTGTGGAGTTTACCGCTGCCCCCTAAATTGAAGTTTTACTGGTGGCGGGTGGTCCGCGGTTTCCTACCTGTTCGAGCGGTTTTGAAAGTGAAGCGGCTGGTAGAGGATAATACCTGTCCGATCTGTTCTCACGGGGCGGAAACTATTAGTCATTCTGTTCTTCATTGCAGAGTTGCTGTAGAACTTTGGGGGCTTGCTGGACTTGGCACGTTGAGAAGACGACTGGAAGACTTGGCTCCTTCGGACTGCTGGCAAACCTTGTTCTTCTCTTGTCACCTTTCAAAGTCTGAGATTGCTGACGTTGTCTTTCTTTGCTGGCGTGTATGGAAATCTCGTTGCTGGGCAATCCATAAGCACATTCAATACATGGGCCATGCTTTGTTTCGTCAATTCCGTTTTCAGGTGGAGGAATGGCAGCATGCGACGGCGCCAATAACACTTCATCGGGCTGGTTCTGGGGATCCTAGGATGCGGCGGGGCGCTGAGCAAGCAGTACAAGCGCAGCCTCCAGGCGGGATATGTCCAGCTGATGGCGTTCTGGTTCGGTTTGATGGAGCTTGGAAGAAGGATGCAGGGGGTGGCATCGGGTTTGTCGGATATTCCGGCAATGATCAAGTGCTGTTTGCATTCGGGCGGTATTACCCAGGTGTGTCGGAACCTTTTATTTCGGAATTATTAGCTCTTCGTGATGCGGTTAACTGGTGTGTGTTGCATGGTTTTAGTTCGGTCAATTTCTGTGGCGATTGCCAGCCATTGATTCGCAGGATACGGATGAGGGATGTGAACCATGGATCGGGAGGCGCCATCTTGGAGGAGATTTGCGCGGCGGGTGTGCTGTTTAGTTTCTTTGATTGTAATTTTACTCCTCGATTGTACAACAGGGCTGCCCATCTTGTGGCTACTAATGCCCTTTCATCGACAGTTCGGCTACTTGTCGACTGTCGCGTTTGGTTGTCTAGTGTCTTGTAATATCTATAACGGTCCATATCTATGTCAAAAAAAAAAAAATTAAAAAACTATTATAATGATCATTCCTTTCATTTCATGTGAATTTGTATTATGACTGAAGTGATATTACCCCAAGTCATAAATTGCAGCAAGGAATGGTCTTTTGAATTAATGCGCACTGATGCAAAATGCCATGTAGCTGTCAAGAATAAGGAGTAAGAGTTGACCAATCAGTGTGTTTGTTGTCGAGAAGGATAAGAATCATGATAATGGGGATGGTTCATGACGATTGACATATACAGATTGAAGTGATAGAAAGTACAGAGTTGTAAGTCATTTGTGTGTTTAGTGTAGCATAGTGGTTACAAGTGATTTGGTATGATTTCACAGTGGTAGGGATATTGACAAAAGTTATTATTTGTTGGTGCTTCCACACATATATTGCTTGCCTGTGTTTTTTTTTGTTTGTATATGAGATTTCTACAGCAGATTGCGTGCTTTGTATTTTTTTTCTGTCATTTTAATTAACAAAACTATATATCAGAAAAAACTGGTCGACGCATTCCATCGACTTGATTTGGACATTGTTGGTTTTTGTTTTCTCAGCCAGGGATTCATCGCCTTTGGTGTCACTGGGATTTTTGGTTTAAGGGCAATCCAAATTGGGTTTTTCTTATGAGATCTCTTGGTGGCTTTCATTTTTTACCATTGATAACGGGAGCCAGGTAAGCATTCCTTTGGTTATTTCATGTTCACTCTAGGGGCATCATGGTGCATGGCAATAGTGGCTATATTTAAGGCTAATGACTTGGTTCGAATTATCCATTGTAGTTTCTTTTGTAATGCAATGGGATAATGACTTTCCATCATATTATTATATATGGTGTTGTTGACCTACCTCCGACCATCGCCGCATACATGTTAACGGATAATATCAGTTAGAATCTAAGAATCAATTTTCGTGACTACGTCCGGCCCGGATAATAAGCTAGTATATATATACACACACTCGCACACGATCTGCATGGTTCTAGTTTTAGTGCAAGGATAAGGCAGGAAGAAAAGGAAGTGGGTCGGTTTTATGATCACCAGACTTGCCCATGAAGTAACAACAGCCCGCCAAACCTCATGACTCTTGACCGGCCCACGTCTTTCTTCTAGCCCAATCCACCGCACTCCTATTCCTTCTTCCAAACCGTAAACACAATAATAAAAAGAAATATCAGATGGTTGTTATTTTACTACAAACTCCCCCCTCAGACTTCCCCCTGCTTCATTCGGCCATTCCCTCCTCTGCAAGGCAAAGGCAGAAGCACCGGCTTTGACTTTCAACGACGGGGGCATAGCTGTCATTTCCCCACCGCCATAAACAAATTCAATTTCAACATGGTCACGACAAAAGCAAGATAGAAAGCAATTATTAATTAATAATAATAATAAAAAAAGAATGCAGCACTGGCGCCGTGTCCCCATCATTGCTTAACCGAAGAATATAAAAACGGACCACGCCCACAGAGACCCAGAGCTCGAGAGAGAAAGGGAGAGAAGAAGGAGCCGTTCCATTCCAGACCGCCATTAGCAGCAGCAGCAGCAGCCAGCCAGCCATTTGGATTGGAACAGCGGCCAAAAACTTGTTGGCTACTCTCTTCCTTCCCCTCCCTTCCAAAACCGCCAAACTGGATTTCGTATTATAAAAGTTCCAACCTGCCCATCTCGATTAGCCGTTCCATCCAGAAAATGAACTCTCTGCTTGCTCCTGTAAATCCTTCCTCCTCACTGATTCCCCTCTCCTTGTGAATTCCGATTTTGAAATCCCTTCTTTCCACACTCAAAACGCTCTTCTACAACCGATTCGATCTACGTCGCGTCCGTCTCTCGAGGCTCTTCTCCTGTTGGTTTGTTTCTACTAGCTTCTCTTCCCCCTGTACTGATAATCACCATGCTCGGCGACGCTTACTATGGGAATTGGAATACGAATGCGGCGGCGGCGGCGGCGGCTCTTCTCCAGGTTGGTATTCTGTTATCTCTCAATTTCTCTGCGTCTGATTTCTTGGGCAGGGGTTTGGAGGAGCTCATTACTTCCTGGGCAAGAAAGCTTGTTTAGTCTGCCATTCTATGGCGGCGAGTTTGATTAGTATTAATACTAGGACTAGTTTGTTTTTTCCCCCTTCCCTGTGTGATGAGCAAGTTTCCCTTCCTCTGGTAAATTACGAATGGCGGTGCTGATTCTTTTCACGTGAATTCGGTTTCATCATCGAACTTCGAGGGGATTGGGTTAGGGATTAGGATGGAGACGACTTGGGAACGGAATTTGATGAATTCTCCTTTGGTTTTGTGATCTCCGTGTGCGTAACGCCTCTTTTGCGATGGTGATGCCTCTGCAGGAGCAGCGGATTCCACCGATTGTTCCTCCGCTTGAGCAGCAGCAAGATACTATTTCAATCGACGATGACGAAATCTTGAGGCCCGAATCCGATTCCGACGAATCCCCCGGAGCGCCTCTCCATTGCGGCGGGAGGATCGAGGTGTTCGCTCGCAGCGGGTTCTCTCCGCTGGCAGAGGACACCGTCCACCACTCCACCATCAAGAAGTGCTTCCTCGACGGTCTAGGGCAGGCACGCGCCGCCGGAGTCAGGGTCACGGCTGTTCACAGGAACTCCCTCTCCGTGCCGAATGCCAAGGCGCGCTTCTTCTCGTTCCGGGTCCACGAGAAGGCGGTGGCGGAGAGGCGCGGCGGCCACTCGAACGCTCGGTACGCTTGGTACGGCGGCTCCAGGGACGAGATTCGCCAGATTTTGAACTTCGGCTTCAGTCGGTGCAGCGGCGGTGGCGGCCTAACGCACGGTGTCGGCCTCCATCTCTCCGCAATTTCATTTCCCACGGACTGGTAAGTTTTTTAAAAATAAAAATTAATTCGTTCGATCAATTGCGACCCAATTGAGAAAACGGCGAGCTGACTGCCGATTTCTGGAATGCTCTCTTTCACAGCTTGGAATCCGCGACCGCTGACCAGGATGGGACGAAGCACTTGCTTCTCTGCCGCGTTTTGCTAGGGAAAGTGGAGGCGGTGCCTGCTGGCTCCAGCCAATCAGCTCCCAGCTCCGTTGAATACGACACTGGTGTTGACGATTTGACCAAGCCCAGAAGATACGTTGTCTGGAGCTCGTTCATGAACTCCCACATATTCCCAGCTTTCGTAGTTTCTTTCAAGGACACAGCTAATGTTCATGGTAAGCACAATGTTAGCTTCCCGGTACTGTCAATTGTTGTTCTGCTGGTCAGGTCTGCTTTTGGTGTTGAATTGGTGGCTGACGCCATTGTTTCCCAGGGTCGAACAGAGGCGCACCCGTGAGATCCTCGATGAGACCCAGATCGCCATGGATGAGCTTTCCCTCTCTGATGAGTGTTCTGTCAGGGATGTTGGATCCGCGCATCATGTCCATGGTTTCCAAGAGCTTTGCGGACTTTCAGGTTAGGGGCAGTCTTATCGAAATTCGGTCTTAGTTCGAGCACTTGCCGCATTTTTTTTAACTTTAGTAAGTACTTATTACTGATCTGCAATCTGGTTTCCCCTTTTTCCATTCTCTGCAGCGTCATAGAATTACCAGAGAGCAAATGATAAGAAGAACAAGGCAGCTTGTTGGGGATGACCTGTTGTCCTCAGTGATCAAAACTCACCAGAAGGTATGTTCTCAACTCAACTCTGAAACAGTACTTTGCACTTAGATCATAAAGCCAAAGAGCATTACTGTTCATGTCTTCGCTTGAGGACACTTTCCCGTTCTAGGCCTGAAAGGTGATTGACATATTAGCTTGTTCTGGCATCAATAGCGTCGAATACTCTGATGAAATGAGATGGTTTCTGACTAGGTTTATCTTTGTATTTAGATTTTAGATCAGACGCGCATTTGGCCATTAGAGAACTGAGTTGTGACTGGAGAGGTATATTCCGTGGTAGTGAAGTATAGAAGAAAGAATAGGAATAAAGGCAGAGTGTGAAAGGTTTGTGCTCAGCGTAGAGGAGCAGCAGCCATCTAAGCTAACTAACCAGGGACTTCTTCGTGTTTAAGATTGCTTGCCCTGCTTGCCTTTCCAGTGGGAAAGCAGTAGAGCATCGAATCCCACCATTGACATTTTTATTAGTGTTAATTAAGAACTTGATTCACCTTTCCCATCTGGCAAAAGCTGAAGCAAATGATGTGGTAGTCAAAAGCTGAGGAACAAATCATGATGGGTGACTCATGTCTTCTCTTTTTTGGGTTTGTCCTGCAGGAGCTGACGAGGGGTCTGGCGCGGCGGGCATGAATGGGGATGAAGGATGGACCAACAACAATAAAGCCTATGACTTAATTGTGAAGTGATCATCAGAAAGCAAAAAACGGGAAGCAGTCAGCTTAGCAATTTGTTATTAGGGATTGGGCGGAGAAGAAAGGCTTGTACTTTTTAGATTAGATTGTAATCGAACACTTAACCAGAAAGAAAAGTATTATTGAAAGTTGTTTTGTTAGTCATAGTTAATAGGCCGAGACTTGACTGTGCTGGAGAAACCTTGCTCACACCCAAATATCGAATAGAAAGGAAGTAAAAACCCACGCCACGCCACGTTTGGAGACTTGTCACTGTGGCCTTATCCAGAGCTGCTATTCTTCTCCGGTTTTATCCAATGGCAAACGGATAGGAGGTCCAATTTTTCAGAGAACTTGAAAATAAAGGGTACCGACATATGCTGCATATGAGATGATCGTGGTCGGTTTGATTTGAATAGAGAGGGCTATGGTACGTGTCGACTACTAGAATTCATCCAATTTTTTGTTCCCTTCTTTTCTTTTGGTTAGGGATAGTTTGGCCTTAAGTTCGGCATAAGTGATAGTTTTGATCCGAACTTTTGAATATTACAGTTATGGCCTACATTTTCATATAAATAGACGAATTTGGCTCGCTATTTGAATTCATCGACAAAATTAAACGGTCAATTATTTTCCCCGTTATTGAGTCGGCAAGCTGTGATGACTAGGCTCGTCATGACACATTTTTTTTCTTAAACAAAAGAAAACTAGAATAAAAAAAATATAGTATAACATCTATAAATTAATAAATTGGGATCGTGAAAATTATTAATTTATAGTAGTTATTAATTAATCAATAAATTTCCAAACATTTCAAGTTCATACAATATGATTAATGGTATGGGTTATCGTAACAAGATGGATGTAAGTCAATTGTTGGAGTATCTAGGTGAAAATGATGAATGTATCGCGGGACAAACGTTAGAAGAAAATGTGATTGATGTCATTGGGGGTTCAATTGTTGATGAAGGAGATGACGATTCAACATCTTTGGAACCGATCACACGAAAGGAAGCACTTAAATCCGCATCGATTCTTCAAAAATACTTGATGCAATTAGAGAAGATAATACCGAAGACTTGGAGTGCAATGAGGAAAATTCAAGATGAACTTCAAGAATAAACAAACAACTATATATTCATATTTTTCTAGATTATCTTACCTATATTATAAATCTATAGATGAATTGTATTGTTACCATTCTTAATTTATAGAGTTAAAAATACATGTATTTATGTTGGTTGGTTCTCCAAAATTAATATCTTATTATTTTATTAAATTTGTTCATTTTTTACACTGACCCAAGTCGAGACCAGAGAAATTATTAATTTATAGGTTATTAATTTATCGATTATTAATTTAAAGAAGTTACACTGTAGATTGAAAGAGTCACGAGGGGGTCACGAGGACTACTATCTCCTCCCCTTCTCGTTCGTTCATTCCGCCATTGATCTCCTCAGTCCTCCCCATCTGCTCTCGACCGAGACCTAGGTGAGCGTGTGCCTGACGACTCTTCCACCGGCGCCTCCTTCCGTTTGTTTTGCCTTCGTCGCTTGTCTTCTTCGACAACCTCACTTAGTCGGCCGCGCCTCGCCGCGCTTCGTCCTTTGATAACACCAAAACTGGTGTTATTTTTCCTTCATACTTAGGTTTCTTTCATGCTAATTCGTGTGCATAATAAGAAGAATATCATCGATTGCATCCCTATTTTGTTCATGTTTGATTATGTCGTGATTTTAGAGTGCTTTAGACGATACATGTGAATTAGGTATGAAAATGGACACAAGTGTAGTGAAATGGGTAGGAAGCTAAAGATCACAGTCTCGACATGGAAGATCTCGGCTGAGACATAAGATCGCGAAGAAGGAGAGAAGATCGTGCCTGAGAACCATAGTTCGCGGCCGCGAACTTGGAGCCCTTGGGTGTGAAATTCGTGATGAAGCCACCCAAGAGAGAACATAAACTTTTGATGGTCGGATCACGGTCACCATTTTCCCTGACCGCGAGGAAGTTCGCTGTCGCGACTCACTGATCGCGACCATGAAAACAACCCGCGAACTCCCAGAAGGCGAAGACCAAAACGCCGACGCCTGAAGATTGCGATCTGGAAGGAAAAGATCCTGACCGCAATCTCCCTCTAGTCGGCCGCGAACTTGTCCGTCCCCCTAAAGTCAATAAATAGAGGACCTCTTCCCCCCATTTTAAGAGAGTTGATTTTGAGATAGAAATTTCTCTGTGTGTGTGTGTGTGTGTGTGAGAGAGAGAGAGAGAGAGAGAGAGAGAGAGAGAGAGAGAGAGAGAAGCTGAAGGAGGAGAAGCTAGATGAGAGGAGCAATGTTCTTCAACATCAAGCCTTCCCCAAATTCTTCTATATATCTTCTTCCCTCCTTTTTGGAGTAGTCTCTTAAGGTACTAAGGGTTCTAAACCCCAAACCCTAGTTTTAGGGCTATTATGTAATGAATGAATATGTTAGGGTTTTGAATGAATGTGTTTGTCTAATTTATTTTAATGCTTCATCTACTTTGATTGTGCTTGGGTAAGTTGCCATAATCTTCTCTACTAGCCTACTTGAGCTTCTAAGCTTGGTATGGAGTTTTAGTGTTAGAAGGGTATGCTCCATCTGGCAGATTAGGGTTAGATGAATGAATAGGATCTTGTGGTGGACGAGGCGATCGTACCCCTGCCACAAGAACGCCTTTAATATAGACGGAACCCGGGATGAAATCTCGGTGTGGAGGGTGGATAGTACCCATTGAAATGAGCTCAGTTCTTAAGGCCATAGATATGTGAGCCTATACTGAGGTGGCAATGGGGGGTAGGTAGGGCATGTTCGGAGGTGTGTGGATAATCACAAAAGCCCACGGAAAAGAGCTCACTCACCACATTCGCTTAACCCAAAATGCATGGACATTTGCATGATAGACCTAGGCTAGGGTTAGTTCCCCGATGTACCTGCTTTTATCCTTGTTTATTCTCTCTACTAGTTATTTCACTTGAATCCTCCAACACAACCCCTTAAACCGATCGGCTAGATAACAACAACGTGGGAAGTAGGCTAGTGTACCGGGCCCTGAGTGAATACGACTTTAATTGCCACTATATGACAACGCCATTATAAGTTAAACTTAGCCTAGAATGGGGTAGTTATTCATACATACAAACTATTGATAATGACCTACACAGAATGAAACGATCAAGCTTTTTGGCACCATTTCCAGGGAACCTCGGTAACTAGTAGAAAATCACCAAGTTGTTAGTTTAGCCTTTATTTACTTTGCTCGTATTTATATCATTTTAGTAGTTTTATCATTTTGTGTTTTGTTATCCAACTTTGTACGTCATGGGTTGTAGAGTTTTTGTATGTTTATAGACTATACATCATGGATCGAAACGAGTTGGAATGCATTGTGAAAGAGATTATTGATACACTTTGCCAACAACCTTTATTCCAGGGAGGGAATGACGAAAGTGCTCTTGATCATATGTCATACTTCTTAAGTGTTGCAAAAACTTTGAAGAGATCAGGGTACACTCAGGATCAAATTAATGGTATTTTCTATACTTACATCTGTGAGGGGATCCTATCGTCAAGTATAAGGAAATTCAAGCTACTACCCCGCCATGGAGTCAAGTCATGAAACTTTCGTGTATCGGTATCTTGCCAGTACAATAGCTGGTATTAAGAAGAATGATATTGTCACCTTCCAACAAAGTGCTCAAGAGAATTTCCAACAGGCTTGGGATCGTTTTGGTGTTATGACACAACTGAATCCGAATCAGTGACATTCAGAAGACCGTCTCAGTGAGAGTTTTTTCAATGGAATTGTAGAAAAATACAAAGTGATCATCGAAAGGAGGTATCCAACTGGATTTCGATACAATGACCTCGAGCAAGTGAAGGAACTATGCGTAAAATAGAAGAGGAGGAAGCCAGCCTTGCCAAAGAGTCGGCTATTCAGAGTTAGATCAAGAAAATTAGCAGAGATTTAAAGGAACTTATGGGAGAGGGCAATAAGGATTCGATTGGGGTAGAACAAGTCTTCGCACTCAACATGAGGTACCTCATCAGTCTAGTCTCTCTCCCCCACCTCTAGAAAATCCTCCAGACTGCACCACAGAAGAACCTTGTGTGTCTTGTCGGGATTTGAAGCATCGATTCGAACGTTTGGAAGAAAGAGTATCGGATTGGGTTTCAATTTTTCATCAACAGATGAATGGTTTTGATCAATTTGTTTACGCCTCTATAGCACAAGTGAATTACTTGAGGGCAGAGAACATGACTGTCATTCCGGAGCCCATGACTGTCAACCCAAATTTGTTTACGCCTCTATAGCACAAGTGTTTGATTGATATTACCCCGACTATGATGTAACATTTCCATCCCCCTTTAAGAAAATTCCATCCTCAAAGTTGAGACCATAAGAACAACGTAAGGATCTCTGAGTATTCACTCATTATTGTCGACACCATAATTCCAATAAACTGCTTCAAATACTCAAGAACAAGTTAGGATAGTTCCCTCTCGTCTCCTTTTCAATCACCCACATAACTACTTCAGTACGTGGATTCCCCCCTTCCATCTTTAATATAGACACCCTATCTCTTTTCCATAGAAAGACTCTTGGTTGCCTAGCTACTTGAGACCCTAGGCCTCTATCACGATCATTACGGATGAACCTCCCATTCCCAACATTCCATCCATTGTTATAGGATCGGTTTGGCTAGTTCCCAAACTGGTTTCCAGTGTGACTCTTGCTTTCTCAACCACGAACTGATTGCTCAGACTGAGCCCTTCCTTTACTTCCATTCCTTGGGCATTCTTTAGCAAAGTGGTCTGACTCATTGCAGTGGAAACAGACCCCTAGGTGCTCTTTGCGCTCTCCCAGATGAACCTCTCGCTCTGTTTGCATGGACCCAGGTTAGTGTAGGTTTCCCCCGGCCTGGTCGAACCTACCTGAGTCTGGGTGCCCCCATAACTAGTCGAATCGCTCGACCTGCTTCTGACTTGACTATTTGATGGTCGATTCTTGCAGTTTAAACATATTTCATGCTAAATTGTGCTTTTACATCTATTTCAAGACTTAGATTGGAAATGAAGGCTTGGTAGGTGTTTCATGCCAAAATGGAGAGCGAACAAGGTATGGGCGCTGGAGTATCAAAATTTCCGATCACGCCATCGATTCCCCGATCAGGGATCATCACCCGGGATCGGGAATGGCGTCCAGTAGACCCCCTGAGCAATGCATCTCAATTCCCTGATCGGGTAATAGAGGAGCGGGGGACTGTCCTCGGGGAACTTAAGTCATGCGCCACATTTTGAAGATCCCCGGTCACTGCATGTATTCCCCAACCGAGGAATGTGACCGCGGAAAGCGAACCTGCGTTGTGGCAAGCCGAACTCGGGATTTTGGAGAGGGGATCAATTTTCCAAATTTGAAAAGTTAGAGAGAGCCCTAGAGAGAGAAAATGACAAAGAATAGCCTTGGGAGGAGATTGGAGTCGTCTACGATCATCGGAGCTCGATCTTTCACCTCAGAGTGTCAATTCATCATCTGAGAAG